AACAGATATAACAAAAATGTATAGGCAGATAAAATTGCATAAGGATGAATGAGACCTACAAAGAATCCTATAATTAGACGAACAAAACATCGAAGTACCATATTATTTGACAATTTCACATTTGCAACAACAGTGTCTATGGATACCATTCAGATAACAAAAAGATTGATCTTGTCAAATACCGCTAAAATATTTGATCCGCTAGGTTTTGTCTCACCCGTGGTAATAACAGTAAAGACGATGCTGCAAGAACTATGGCTACACACAATCAAATGGGACGACCCACTGCCAGATCATATTTCAAGCAGGTGGAGCACCATAAAAAAAATCTTTCGGAGCTAAATAATATCAAAATAACAAGATGGTTCAACACAGAGAAGACATCAACTGTCTAACTGTATGGTGTCTCTGATGCTACTCAATTGGCAATGTCAGCAGTAATATATTTTGACATCTATAACCCAACCAACAAAGTAGCCATCGTATGCTCCAAGACCAAAGTAGCACCATTAAAACGCCTGACCATTCCCAAGCTGAAGCTAGCCGCAGCATTTCTACTATCAAAACCCATGCGGAATATCAAGAATACACTAAACATGAAGGTAACGGCTATATATTTGTGGACAGACTCAAGGGTAACACTCACATGGATAAAATCCCACGCGTCGCGTTGGAAGGACTTTGTGAGAAATCGGGTATCACAAATTCAAGAGATCACTTCAGATTCTTAATGGAACTATGTTCCCGGAACATCCAACCTTGCTGACTGTGCCTCGAGAGGACTGAATACCGCTCAACTCAAAGACCATAACCTATGGTGGACGGGACCACTATGGATGCAGTCACCAAAATCGTGGCCAAAGCAGTCAGTACAGAGTGACGAATTGTGCGAACAAGAAGCCCGCCCTGACATCTCTCTTGCAGTTACTATACAAAAGATTGACTAGCACTGGCACATAATTTATAAATTCTTAAAACTACATAAGATATTGAGAATCACTGCCCTATGCATCGGATTCATTGAACGCCTCAGGAAAAGAGGACTATCTCCAGACACCCACCTAACTCAACAGGAATTAGAAAATGCACGACTATTCTGGATAAAGGCGACCCAGGGCACCTATTTTTCCCATGGACTCAAGATACTTGAGTCTATATATATATAATAATTATATGGATATTATAAATTTTATAATTTATTATGTAAAACTAACTTGGTTTTTATTAAAATCTAAGAAAATATTTTAAAACTTGATCTAGACATAATCTATTTCTATAAAACTGTATAAAAATTATACAGCATTTTTATCATATATAGATTTATATTGAATGTCATTCACTTTTTTTCTTATATTAAAATAATTGATTTAATCATTTAGAAAGTTTTGTACTATACTTAAAAAGTGTATAAAATAATAAATTAAAAATTAAATACTTACTTTTAAATAATTATGTGTCATATAAAAATTGCTATTTTTCCTCTGACTTAAATAAGTATAAATTAAAATTTTATCTTTCGTTTGCCTCCAATGATAATTTTTTGTTCGAATAAAAGACATATTGATGTAAATGATTTTCTTTTCTGTAATTATTCTAATATAACCATGGTAACTGCATGTAACTGCATAATAAGAAAAAATACAAATAAGTTTTGTTACAAAATGAGTTGTTTTTGTTTGATTTAATTAAAATATAAAATTTTGTTTGAACCATATTACAAATTTAGTTGTGTATTAAAAAATTATTTTTATTTCTATTTAATGCGTTTTATATATAACATTTTATAAATAAAACATATTTTTATTCATGGAATCAAACCAAACGTTATAAAATATTTATATTTTAATAAGTTAATATTTACATACTTCACCAATTAATTTATTTATGCATATTATTTCCATGAATTATTAAAATGAAATTACCAAATAATGATAACATTTCTTGTATATTAATACTTACTTACTAAATCTAATTCCTAAATCTATACTGACTTGCAAAATTATTTAAGCAAAACTTAATATTAATATTGATTAAAAATGGTATTACGTATCGAAAAATGTGACATTTTATGTTTTATACATAAAAAAACAATCAAAAATGTATGATGTACAATAAAAAGTTTTGATATAATACTAATTGTCGAGAATGATTTGAATAATTTTACGATGCAATTTGATTCTTAACAGAACATCATTTTCTATACAATTTACAGTAGCTAATAGTAAAAACTAATTAGAATTAAGAAAAATACTTTGAATAAAGTAATAGTATTAAAGTAACTATATTAGTTTATTTTTATTCATATATTGAGAAAAAATTATTTATATTTTATATTTAATTAGAAAAATATAATACATCAATATTAACAAATTATGTATTTAATGTATGTCTTATTAATTTAATTAGAAGATTATAATACATAAAAATTAACAAATTATATATTTTTAATGTATCTTTTATTAATTCAATTAGAATTTTATTTAATTAGAAAAATATAATACATCAATATTAGCAAATTATATATTTAATGTTTTATTAATTTTTTAATTTAAAATCTTTATAAAATTAATGCACATTCGTAAATCTCATTTTTATCTGCAACTGTATGTCTATGATTATTCTTAATAATAGCTCTCTTTTACAGTTCCTTATCGTACCTTTTGTATGCGCTGTAGTTGATATAATTTTAAATGATTCAGTGTTAATTAGATTATGAATATATATTGCTTTTTAAAGTCGATTATAAATTTAAATAATATACAAAGTATTTTAATTAATAAATAATGAATAAAATTGTTTTGTTTTAAATTTTCATATTCATTTACACTTACTTTTACTGCATTATTATATATTAGGCAATTGCATTTATATCATACTTATTTATAAATTTGTATTCCTAATTTATCTTATCCATTATATAAATATTTTATTTATTATTTTATTTTATGTTTATGTTTTATAATTAATTTATTATAAGTAATGAATATAAATACTGAATTTTATCACCAGATTTTATTTTTCTTACAAAAATTTTCAAATACTTTGTTGTTTCCTATAAGTTACAACTTAACTGAAAACTTGTACTTCTTCACAAATAACAGGAAAAATTTATTATTTGCAAATAACTTATTTGTTTATTTAAAGTCTTAATATATTTATATTTATATAAATCGTGTTTAGATGGAATAAATACTTTATTTAAATTATCAATATACTAAAAACTGGCTATATAAAATTATAATTACAAATTTACCCACATTTCTAGCAAAACTTTTTTGCTTGCCTTTTACATTTTATTTGTTTGTACATTTTTTTGTTCCTGTTTGTACCTTTTTATTTCTATTCTATTGATAAACACTAGGAATTATAATCCAATAAGAACTATACTCTACTTCCTTTTGTAATTAATCATGATATAATCATGTTATAGAATAATTTTTGCAATAAAAACGATAAGTAACCTGTGTTGTTTCATTTTACTTTGTATAAGGGCATTTATTAAACAATGACTTATGATTATATATACACTATTATTTTAATCTAACGAAATGCCTTTTTGAATCTTCTTCTATATTGTTAGTTTATATTAAATACTGAAGACTAGACAGATCTAGGCAAATGTTTATGCAAATAGTATATTAATAAAGTGTATTCAAGTAATACAATTTGTAATTTTATTGTGCATTATTAGTATTAATTAATATGTAGATATATTATGCATTTTACGATATTTATATGTTTAATAAAAAATCCTGTGTTTATACTTTTTTTATTTAATATTGTAATTAAAGGTATGCTTATAAATAGTATGTATCTTCACGTTTTCATCAAAGTGATTTATTTAATTTTAATTATGTAATATTATTTACTAAATATGTATTTAAATATAGTATTTACGTATTTAAGTATTTTATTTGTAATATTTTTGTCTAAATATTTAATATAAATGCAAACACGACCACATAATGCACACTAATTCCTTGATATATGTATACTCCTAATACTATTTATCCTATTCATATCTCGTTGAAGTTTATATTTTATTTTATGAAAATATTGTATTTGCAATGTGTGGATATTATAGTTCAGTTTACATTTTTTATTTTAATTCGTAAAAATTTTTATTTATTTTCTATATAATTAATTACTTCATAATATAACACTACTATATATTAAATGTATTCAAATACATTAAATAATATATATTATTAATAATTATTATTAATTTATTTTTAGTTTATTAAAAAAAAATTATAATAAATGAAATATTTTTTGTTAAACCAAAATACTTTTACTTAAACAATTTGTAATTGTAAGACATGCGCACTAAATTTTTTTTCCGTAACGGTTGATAAATAATATTATTAATATGTATGCTAATATTATATATTCTATGATTTTAACATTTATTTTCAAATATAATTATACTTCACAATAATATAATATTTAATATATGAATGTATTTCATCATAATAAAATTATATTTTCGAATGTCATTTTTAAAAACGTTTTTAGGAAATTGTTTAGTATTTGGAGTTATTTTATTGCCCTAAAATAAATACAAATAAATACAAATAAATGTAAATCTATTTACATTTTATCATTCTAATAAAAAATTTATATTTTTTTATAAATAGTTTCAAAATAGTTGAAGGTATTGAATTAAATAGTGGAATTCAATCTATCATTTAGTTATACTACCACTGCCACAGGAACACAAGATATTGTATTTCTTACTTTATTTTTTATTCAAAAATTATGATAGATGTTTATAAGTATTAATAAAAATGTCTAAGAATAATAACGATATGTATAAAAATAAGTTTAATAATCGTTGCATTGTACGTGAATTAAGAAATTCTACATTATTTGATCAACAAATAATGGCATGTGTAAAAGAAACAAATCACACCAATTTAATTTGTTTTCTTAATCAACCTAATTGTATACATTTAATAAAACAATTTCCTTACGAAGTATTGACTACAATTATATCAATTATGCATTCAAAAGGCAACACACAAAAAAAAAACTTGTACTGTGAAAAAGTGCTTCATTATTTAGTAATTTATTGTGAACCTTCTGAACTAATGCTCTATTTAATTGAACAAATGGAACTTTCAAGTTCAGATTATTGCTTTTTTTCACTTTTAAATGTAATAAAAATATCTTTATTTAGATGTAAAAATCCGTTATTAGTTATTGATATGTGTATAGATAATGTAAAAAAGTTTTTATTACATTTACCATTACCTGATGATGAAGATCTTAAAAAAAAAAATTTTATTTTGGAACGCATCATTTTATCATATATAAATGTATCAAATTTTGCAGACAACTTATTACATGATTTAAAATTATTACATTTTAATACTACAGATCATGTACAAAAAAAAATACAATATTTAATATTGGAATTATTGATATCCCTATTTGATAGACCTATGAGTTTCATAAATCTTAATTGTAATAATCATCAATTGTTATTCAAAAAACTATTACGAAATATTTTATCAATTCAATGTGATGTTATTTATTTTTTTCGATTTATTGGCCATGGAAATATTCAGAAGTGCTACACATCAATAACAAAAAAAAAACTAAATACCAAAAGTGATGAAATCGAAGCATTTATAAATGTTAATGATTTAGCATTTTCCAATTTTTATTGGACAGTTTTATATGAAGTATTAGATATAAGGATTCTAAACATTTATAATCCTTATTACATTGCTTATAACTGCATAAATATATCAAATTATTTGATGTTGCATGAAGAAGAAAGAAATATTACAATAATTAAAGGTCTTGATCTTATGCACTATGCTATAAATATTTTTAAAAAATTTTTAATTCCATATGAAGATCTTGATTTATTAATTCATCATGAACTTATAAAAAATGTTACACATTATATAATTTATAGTAATTCATTACAAATAAAAAAATATGCTCTTAATAATTTTATAAAATATATTAATAGTTTTTCTGGTAAGGCTAAATATTTAATTATTAATAAACTTATTTCATTAGATTATCATTCAAGCATTAAAAGTTTTATTATAGGAATTACTAAAAATATAGTTGCTGATTCACTAAATTTAAAACAAAAAAATAATCATCAAAATGAAATGTTTGTAGGTAAAAATTTGCAATTAATAATTTCTAATATTTGTATATTAAAACATGGAGCTAATACAGACTTACTTGAAATCTCTGATCAAATAATAGTAATACTAAATTTTATTCTTTTTTTAATTATTCGTGATAAAAAAAATAGTGGCATTATACATTTTTTTAAAAAGACAAACTATTTTTTTCTGCGTTCTATACAAAATGCAGTTGAAACACAAAAATATCAATATATGTTTAAGCTTGATAACATAATTAATAATGAAAGTATAACAAAATTCAATGATAATAAGGAACTATTTATTGAAGAATTTAAATTAATACCATTTGAACAAAAAATTCAAACATACAATCAAGCGATTAATACTTTATTATTAATTGAACATATTTTATTCAGAATTTATGATTTTATTGATATTAAATTACCAAATATGTATTGAGCATGAAAAATGTCTAAATATATTATATTATAATAAATTAATATTTTTTTAATTACTCCATACATTTTAAATATTTTGAATAACTGATTTAATACTACATTTAATTACATATAAATATTTATTAAGTAACCAAAAATGACTTAAAAAGTTATTGATAAGTTATAAAAATTGATTAATCAATTAACCTTAATCTTATAATTACCATACATGTGTTTAATCTTTAGTTTAAAATAAAATATAGAAAATGTTTCTTATAATGAGATGACACTAATTTGGTTTCCAATAAAGTTTTAAGAACTTTAGATAATACATTAAGATAAAATAATGTTCTTGTAACATCTATAATAATTGCAATGTACAATTCGTGCCAAAAATAAATAGATGATATATTATTGATTTTTATTATTATAGGATATGAATTGAAGGTAAAAGAGTTGGAAAAATAATACTATAAAAAATTTAATATTTTTTAAATGTTCAATTTATTTTTTATTTTATCCCTTGTACATAAATCTTATTAATTATTTGCCTACTGTCTGCTATTAAAGCTGTAATTCTAGTGTAGTTGAATTTGGTTTAGGTATAAAATTCTATATTGGAGTTTAATAATGAGATATTCCTCTTTTTACTCAATTTTCTTTAACTTTATATTTTGATTTTCAACCTTTAAATTTCATTTCATATAGTTTCAGTATGTTAACTGTGAAATTATTAATCTGAATTATATTGTACATTATATGTAGAATGAATGTTTGTTTATTACTTCAGAGATATGATGTTTAACATTTTTTAACCAGTTTAATATTTTTCATATTTATTTCACTGCTTTCCTAACGTAATTAAATTTAATAAATTATTAAATAATTTACGTTTTTATTTAAATTTTATTTTTATTAATTTTAAATTGTCTCAGTGAATTTTTCCCTATAATAAATAGATAAACAATAATAATATTATTAATAACGGTTAATATTAATAATTCATTTATCTAGTAAAATAAATTTTATATGAAATATCTGTAAAAAGTAAATTATATTATACTATAAGTGTGTATAAATTAGTAATACAAGAGATTTTTCTATTATCAATTTTATTTTAATTAATCAAGTAGATATGGTTGATGTGGAAAATTTATGTTTTAGATTATCTTATTTATTATTTTAAAAATCAAATCGTTTGTTTTTATGTATCTGTATATTATATAAATATAATTTATAAAAATTATACAGAATGAATAAAATTTTTAAATATTCACTCATAATTATAATAATAATCGGTTGCAGTGAGTCAAATATCATAATTTTCTACACAAAACTTTGTGATAGAAACGTTATTATACTTATTTGATTTTTCAGATACTTATTTTTCATGCAATAATTAAGACAAGTTTATATTTAGAATAATACACATATCTTGAAGATTTAAAAAACAATTTAAATTATCTGACAATGATATACGATGAATTTAAATATTCTGTTCGAGAATGCGAGACCCTTTTTCAATGCAATATAACATCTGGCAAGTAACACCGTAAAATTTGTATTTAGATTTCAAAACTTTCTTGCTCGCAATTATCTAGCACTAGTGTCATAAAACATCTGGAAAAACCCATAGTTAGACATCTGCACTTTTCTTTCCGCTCGGTAATTACTTCAAACATTACTGCGAGCGGACTTTCCATTCCCCCTTCCGCTGTCGCCAGATGCGTCAGCGACGCCCCACCTTTCTGCAGTCGACAAGCTGTTTTTGCTGTCGCATGCGTCAGCAGCAACGAGAGGTCTTCTTGCCATGAAGACCAAGTGACGACTACGCCCTTAATTAACTATGAAGCCACAAGAGGCGCTGCCCTCGCTCTGTAACAGAGGAGTCTCTGATTGGACAAAAAATAAGAGAAGGGGTTCAAGTGAAATTCATGGTCATCAAATGTATGTAAGGGGCGCAATTTTCAATACTCATCACTCTCTTGATATACCTCTTGAGATAATTCGATATTACACTCTCGATATAGTATACTCCTGATACAGTTCATATTCAGTTAAGTGTCTAGTGAAAGTCCATTAACGCTGTTACGGGAACAGTAGTCACAAGTCCTGGAGGAACGACGACATACATCGTATGTCCATTAACGCAGTTCAAGAAACCATCGTTACATGTTCAAAAGGAGCAACGACTTCCACTTCTTTGGATTGTCCATTAACGCCGTTCAAGCAACAGTAGTTACACGTTATAGAAAAACGACATAAACCCGTATGTCCACTAACGCAATTCAAGAAACTAAAAGAATTTAAAAAAGAGAGCAACGACAATCCGCATATCAGAGTCCGGAGACGAGTCAACGATTAGGCTTGGTAAGTAGTATTATTACTACAATAATTACATATACTTAAGATTTAGAGTATTACATCAACAAGCAACTAAGGGCGAAGAAGATCCTCTCAAAGCAACAGTGCCGAATAGATTCCAGTACGCGTCGTCAAGTTCACGCCCGCAAAAATGGTGTCCTTTTCGGGAACCCTCACCTTAGTTAAGTTCGGACGTTTATGAAATTAAGCAACAAACTGCGAGTGTCGACGAATCAAGTTTCCCAACACTCTGCGGTAACATTCAGTCATTACACTGCATCCATAACCTCAACCACATACGTGATCATTCAAACAGCGCTAATGTCGACGAACGAAACTTCGCGCCATTCTACATTCATATTCAACAATCAAGCTGCATAGATGAGTATACGTTTGCTTCCGCAAACACATCAATTCACCCAAGAGTTAGTTCTATAATTAATAATAGTAATGCTAGTCAACCTTGTCAACAATAAATAACAGAATAAACAGCATATACATCACCCGTATTTATATTGTATTATTATAATATCCCTTCCACTTCTGACCTTTCATCGCTACCACATAACCAAGCTTTGTTTTATCTTTTAAGATTAATTTTTCATGTTTTTAATTTACAGCTAATGAGAATTTTATATTATGTTATTAATCTTATCAGTTATTGATGTATCTTCTTTTCTTTTGAACTCTTCTATCATGTTCTCTTGTTAATTTATTATATGCACATATTTCAATGTATTTGAATTACTAAATTATATTCTAGTTCTCCATGACGGTATAAACAGTCAATACAACTGTCAATAGAAATCCTTAAAGTATGAATGAATAAAAAATACTTATGAAAATATTACCTTAATTAAAAAATAAATAAAAATTTTACTTTATAAAAAACTGATATTTTACTGATTTTTAATACCGCCTTCTCTATTAATTTTTTATTCTATTTAAATTAAAAATTTTTATTTTTATTTGAGGATATTTAATGTTTGAATAAACAATCATCTAGTTATATGATTTTTACTTTTTTACATTAGATATCACCTTAGAAATCCTATAATTAATATTAAAATCTTATCATTTTTATATTTTTATAAATAAACACGCTTATATAATAGTTATTAAACAATTAATGTACAGTATATAAACTATGTTTTATTAATTTATTTATTATTAAATTTATAAAAAAAAAAAACAGAATTGTATCTATTTTAGTTATAAATTGAAAATATATATTTGAAAAATTTTAATATAAATCCTTGATTTACTTTAATAAAATGCTTAAATACAAATAATGTATTCATTTTGTAATAGATTTTGTTGCTTTTAGAAGCCAGTGTAAGGCTTGAATATTTTCAGGTCCATGTAGATGAGAATGTAAGACATTATAACATCTTTTGTGGTAGTTATTCAAGAATTTAATCTATAGAAATTAAAAAAATATAATTATTAAAAAATGTATTTTATATAATAATAAATATATGCTTACTTCATGATCTGTTAGCATTGATATTTTCAATAATCGTGTTTGAATAGGAACCAGTGTTACTGTATCAAATGTGAGAAACTCTCGATTTAATCGACTATATTTAGTATCTGATTTAATAATCATTTCTATATTTTCTAGGCGTATACCAAAATTCCCTTCTTCGTAATAACCAGGTTCTTGTAACATAAATAAATATTAGCATAAATAGTTATATCAATAATCAAATGTATAAATATATAATTTATTAAAAAATATCATTTCATAACGTGGTGAATCTACTTCTATAAAATTTGTAATTTCCAATAGATTCCATTACTTTCTTGATTTTATGCTATTAATTTATTGATATTCACCTCATAGTATAACATTAAAATAAATTATATACAATATATAACTATATAATAATTATAAAATATATAATTCTTTGTTTTAAACAAAAATTTTAATTATACATAAAATGTATAAATAACAAAAATATATTATCGCGATTAATATTTAATTAATATGAATTGAAATGTGTAATTGTTAAATAAACTCTTGTTATTAAATTGCTATATTTAATTTTGAAAAAAATTCCAAATATAAAATTATACAAAAATAGTTACGTATACACATTTAATTTCATAAAAATGAATTCCGAATGTTTAAAAAAGTGGGACATACATCATAATTTAATGAAAGGGCCAAGATACGTATAATAGTGATATTATGTGAAGTGATTAAAACAAAAAATGGTTGATACAGATAAGAAGGAAATATAATTTTGTTATTTACAATTGGTTCATAATTTAAAAGTTTTTAAGTTTAATTTGGATATTAGTGAATATATAATTTTTTTTATTTAAAAAAATATATATTTTTTAACACACAAATAAAAATTAGCTAAGAATCAAGATGCTAAGAAATAAGAAGCTAAGATCACTACGCTAAGAAATAAAACAGAAATAATTAGCATCTGAACACAATAATCAAGGTCATAATACCAAATGACAATGTAATAGTTAACAAAAATAATTTTGTTGATTTATACATATAATTTTTTCTGGATCAACAATAAATACTGTATGTATATATGATTTTATATTCTAATTTCCCAAATATTTTTGTTTTAAATTATTCTATTTCCTATAAGCGTTTTTTATTTGATTGTTAGTGTACATAAATGATGTATTTAGTCGTTCAAAAAATTGTGCAAACAAATTATATTAATTTATATACACGAGCCGGAAAAATCGATGCAACTCAACTAGTCACGATGCAATTATGAATCTATTTTATATTACTAAAATTAAATTTTTAATTACAATGAGTTTTCATTGTGAAAATTTTGCTCCATAACCATAGAATTAATCCGAAACTTCTTGTCCCACACAGATGTGACTACATCAATTTAGGTTTAAAAATTATTTCAAAATATAAAATAGAAAATTTTTTATGATGCAACTTAATGTCAATAACTATTTAGGAGTAAAACTTGCAATAAATTAGTATCATGCATATATTTCATACTATTTGATTAGATTAAAAAAATTTGTTTTGTATGCATAGAATTTATTTGAAATTAACATTTTAATGCTTCAAATTAGTATTGAACACATTGCTTTTTGTACTGTTTATTGCGTTTTATTTCACAACTACACAATAATGATTTTATTTTGATCTTCAGAATCACCGAGATCTTGCCGTTCTTTGGTTGTTGCCACGTGGTGTCAGCATGCACTTCTTGTAGAGGTAGGAGGATCCTCCTGATGCAGTACGCTTGATGACAGATTACTATACTGAGAAATGGCTAACTAGCCCCTGTTTTGACGCGTGCTTGCTTTTAATTCCCACGTGACAGGCTAGTTAGAACTGACAACAATACATGCAATAGAGATGCTACAATCAATGGATTCAACTATGCACTTTATTTTTTCTTTTGGATGAAACGACTTTTTCTCTAGATGGCTAACACTCTTGGGCTTTCCCCAGATGTCTGGGCGACTTGGGAAGGGTTCTCGGAATTTCGAACACACATAATAAAGATTATATTAATTTTAAAAATTATAATTGTTTGGAATTCCAGCCACCAGTATGATTGCAGGTCACGGTGGGTGGATTAGACCGTACCTCCGGTTTAATGGTGATTGAGGGGTGGCGGGTAATCCATCAACTCAGAGTAAATACAATTGGCTTTAGTGACCTTTATTTAAGTAGTTATTACAGTATTGCAGGTGTTCTTTATTATGGTGAGAATTGTTGAATGTAATGACTAGCTGATTATTAAGTCGAAATATCGTCTGGGAGTGCAAGCTTTATTAGGTAATAATTCCGGGTTTAATTTTATAGTCATGTATCGTGTGAGTCGCGCTTGAATTATTAGGTATTAGTTGGTTCGCGCAGCTTCGATGCTTACGACGATGCTTGAATCGTACCAAGCGAGATTCGGCTTGCGACTGATTAGGCGCTTGACTCGACGTTGGAATCGACTGAGTGATATTCGGTTCGTGTCGATGGTGGAGATTATTACGAATAGTTGTCGTCCTCTTTTGTGGTTTGATCAGAACCAATTTATTGTAATGTGACCGGTAATGTCTCGCAATACTAATTTTAATCTTAGGCAGGATCTACTGTTAGAATCAGCGCCCTCTCTTGCGGTCCACTATGGACTCATGTCAGAGGACTTCGTTGATACTGTAGATGTGTGCTGCGTTCTTTTCGGGCAGCGTGATTGGTAAGATTTCGTCCTGCTAACGAGTATTAGGCTGGGCTCTGTCAGTAAATATAATAGACGTAGGCTGGGGCGCGATCACGAGAATTAAGCAAGGATTAACGACGAGTGTAAATAATATTGATAGCTGGCCAGCAATAATAATAATCGAAGAATAATAATAATAATATACCTTGCAGGGATTCCTTCAGACGAGTTCGACTTTCACAGATATTACTGACACTAGTTTCACTTGAGTAATTCAACAAGACTAGTTTCTTCTCCGTTCATTGCTTCTTAAATACTATTGCGTACATTTGGTGTTATGAATTCTCCGGAAACAAGCTTTGACAACTTCGAGAAGCTTCTTTTATTGCTATGCGGACAAAGTGCACGGCTAAATTTCCAGTGAATTTTTGTAACGTATAATTCGAATATTGCGCCTTAATCTTAAATGTAATATATCGGAATCGTATTTTAATAAACAATAAATTCTTATTTTTTGTTGGGTGGTTCAATCCTGAACAATAACCAATAATGTATTTATAACAGTACAATGTATTATTAATTTTGTAATATTGCGATTTATTATATCAGTTATCAAGAATTTTTAAATAAAAATGTGACTGAAATATTTATAAAATTTATTATTTTATATAGAAATTAAATTTATGTCAAAATTTTTGTATTTATTTTAATAAACATTTATGAAAATTAAAGAATTTTGAAAAAAAATTTACAAATAAAATCATAACCGGCAAATTTTATTACACACACATATATATGTGTGTCGGGAGAAGGGGGGGATTATTTTATCAATGTTTCTTTAAATATAACTAATTAAATGTTAAGAAATATAAAGAAAGTATGAAGCATATAAGAAATTAATATAATAACTATTTTATTATATCATTTTTAAGATTTTACCATTTGATAAAAACATTCCAGATTGTAAGCCGGGATCATCTGGGTATACTCTCCACGATATCATAGTAGGAAATTCGTGTACATTCAAATAGGCTCCAACACCATGTCCAGTTCCATGAAGGTAGTCCAGACTAAAACAATATTTTAATAAACCATTTTCTATATAATAAAATACATGAACATACTATTTTTAATTTATCTGTAGCATACATATATTAATCGTTTAAAAACAGTTAAATAATATATTTATATATAATTAATTTATATAGATAACTTATTTTTGATAAGCGATTTAACTTTTTTCGATGGCTATAAGTGCCATATACTAACCTGCATTGTATTTTTCATATAAAAATAAATGAATTCTAAATATATATAAAAATTAGTTTTATAAATATTTATATTCAACTCTTGCGTATCATAATACAGCAAATGTTTCACTATTTGTTAAAGCAAATCAAACATCTTAATCGTTTTATAAGCAAATAGTGTTCAAGTAATTAAAATTATAAATGTTTTAGGATATTTAATATACTCTTCAAGATTATAATAAATACACTATTAATTGTAGTCATGTCAATCAGAATAAAAATTATTATTAATTTTAAATGTCGATATAGGAATATCAGATTAAAATTTAAAATAAAATATTTAATAAAGAGATTACATTATGATTTTTGATTAATTTTTGTTATCAATTTATATATAAATACAATTACTTATACGATAGAAAAGATTATACTACTAAGTTAGTTAGTAACCTTATTGAACATGGGATTGTTACACTATCTGATACGTGATAGAATATGGCACATTCTTTTATTAAGTATATTTTTGAAAAAATTTTTTTCATGTTTTTATTTCATTCTTTTTCAATGAAAGATTCTTATTTTATGAATAAAATGAAGATACTGATAAGTTTTTACAATATGTTAAAACCAGAGAAGTATTCTTTCAGTTAAAAATTACGTTTCTTTTAATGTATAACTGAAAAATATTTTCCATGTTATCCTAAACATTATTTTGTGGAATTGTATAAATTTATTTAAATTTATAATTATAATTTTTGAATGAATAACATATACACGAATTATTTAAATGTATGAAAGTTTATAATTTTTGAAGACAATATTGAAATAAACCAATAAAAAATTTTTTTCTAAAAACCTTAATAAAGTCATGGAAATTTTATTTTTAAATACTCTTCAAATGCCATGTTCACTTATTTTTATTTACAGTTGTAGTATGAATTAAGAAAATCTAAAAGTAATCACTATAACCTATATTCTATAAATTGTACAAATTCTATGATATTTATATTAAATTATAAACGATTAAATCTAAATGATTTTTTATTAATTTCAAAACTTAAAAATTTCAATGTTTTTCATTTAAATCTAGATTTATGTGTCTATAATATACAACGTTTTACAATAAAATTTTAGTTTCGGCAATCATTTATGACTAAAATAAAATCAATATAGAACAAATTTTCGTTTAACAATGAATCTGTTTGTAACGTCCATATGGGTTGTAAAATATTACTTCAGCATTTGGTATAGAACAAGTTGATAGAAAACGATTGGAAGAATAAATAAATATATTAGTATAGTGCAACAATTATAAAAACTTTTATCACTTATTATTGTATTATATAATTCTAATACACAAATATAATCATGTGAAAAAATAAATTTAGTAATGTGTGTAGGAAACGTACTGAAATTCAAATCAAAATTTAAAATTATTAAATAAAAAAATGATTAAACTTTACAAATAATAAAACAGCTTGAACCACATAAATGAAGACTGATTAGAAGTTCATTTCTTCGTATAGGAAACTGCAACATATTACTACTGCCGATTCCACATACAATTAAATTGTTAGTAACATTTTCAACGAATAAGATATTAATCGTTTAGATTTCAAATACGAATATGATTTAAAAATCGATGCGCTGTTGCAACAATTATTACCTAATAATATATTTAATCGACAAAAAAAATTATATGTGTATATCTCAAAAATAAAGAGAAACGGATAAAATTTAAATATATTACTATTTCGTATTATATACTAGTATATGTATAAGCGATATAATACTCAGTGTTTAAATAAAGGTTATGTACAAGTGGAATATATTATTTATACAGGCGAGAGTAAACAACTATCTGAACATGTAATTTTATAATTCTAAATACTACAGTTTAATATTTTGTTTAAATAAAACGTTTAAGCTATAATAATAGATTATTAAAAGTAATTTTTTTATAGATAATAAATTCTACTATCAAAAATATAAGCTGTATTTCATATACTAGATTGACGTCTTTATGGAGCTAAATACATTTAAGATATTTAGAAAAAGCAAATAACAATATTAAGTATTTAAAAGTCAGTTAAAGTTTAAATTAAGTTTTCGAATTTCGTAGGAAACGATGAATAAAATATAATCAACGTTTACTTAATATGTTGTATCTTCATTGATGATATATAGAATCATGGTAATTGATATAATTGTTATATTTGCATACGCGAAATTTTTTTATATATATTCCAATAATATTAAATTACAAGTGGTTTCATAAAAAGGTATTTATTATTTATCGTTTTTTTTTCAATAGTTGATTTTTCGAGTTAGAACAATTTACTTTGCATAGTTTTTGCATAGAATATGTATTATAAAAGTTTAAAAAATTAGTATATATGATTCTGTTGTTTTTCATTTTAATACTTTTAAAAAATACTCTAGATATACGTGTCAATTACATTATTTGGATTTTCAGTGTAACAATATTAATATTAAATTTATTAAATACTTCTTTGAATTTTTTTAATCATTTAGGCAGCTATTTAGATGAGATTTATTAAATTTAAATATTGTAGGATATGTATTATTTGATGAATTTAATTGTCTATGTTTACATATATTAATTTTATAGAATTGCTTCACTATTATGAACTTGATAACCATAACAAGATTATTTAAACCGATATTGTTGATATGTTAAAATATAACACCAAGTAAAAAATGAATTAATAGAGCAAAAATCTAATTATACCATTGCATATACCTAAACTTTAGTGGTAAATTTATTTATATTTATATCCAGAAAAGATTTTTTATAGCATGACAATAATACTAATAATTTTTACTAGAAAAATGTTTTAATATTAATTATTATCAAAGTCAATAAAGGAAATAGTATAAAATAATGGATTTATATTTCTGTGTAATGCTTTGGGCGATTTTAAATAATAAAAATATCTCGATACACATAAAAATAAAGTAAAGTTAGACTAAAATTATGATACAGAAAGAAGTTGAATTAAAAAAAATAATTGAAAAAATAAAATAAAAAGTCTTTTTTATTAACAAACCAATATTAACTATATAAATTATATTAAAAAGGTAAAAATATAGAAAAGAAATAAATCAAGATTGATCACAATCAATTATGAATAATAAACAAAATTATGTTTCAATCTGCTCTGTTTAAGAAAAAAAATTGAAATGATACTTTTATTTGACATTTTAGTAAAAGATCTAGTTCTTAATTTATAAATAAGAAAAATAATTTATTACCCAACATCCCATAAATATTTTCGGGCTAATGTATCCAAATAGTTTCCTTTGATCATTGAGGGAAATTTCGACATTGCAAGATTACATTGTCCTTTAAACACACGAGTAAAACATTCTTTTTCAAATTCCGAAGGTTGTCCAAAATGAAATGTTCTTGTAACATCAGTTGTTCCATCAAGATAATGAGCTCCAGCATCACATAAATAAAATTCTTGATTATTTATAGGAACATCAGTATCTGGCGAAGATTGATAATGCACTATTGCAGCATGTTTTCCGACAGCTGATATAGTTTGGAAACTGGGTCCTACATATTTCAACTGTTCTCTATAAAAATAACATATATATAAAAAAGGAATAGAGCTATCACTTTACTACACATGTAAATATTAATGAACTATTAATAAAAAAAACAGAATAAACTTTTTTTTAATTATTATGTATTTAACGAAGATTATTGTGAAAATCAATGGCAGTGTCAATGTGAAAGTAATTTTTAAATAAAGTTAAAAACGTTTAAATTATTTACATTTTTATTAAATTTATTCGAATGACTTTTTTCTTGATTATTTTAAATAAACTTGTGCGTACTTTTTAAACGTATTAAATAAATTTTAAAAAGAAAACATGATTTTTCAATAATTATAATTCAATCAATAATAATAAATTACTTTAAATCTTTTGTTTTATTTTTATTAAAAATTAGCTCTTTTTAAAGAAGAAAATTCAGGCTGAATTATATATTTTTTAAATTAATAAGTGTTGCATATAATTTATAATGTCAGAAAAAATTTTTCTCGTTTATCTAATTTTGATACATATAAATTAGAAATATATGATAAAATCCTTTCAATATGCAATTACTTAATTGGAACAAATATATCTTTTCCATTCCAAATTCCAATATATAAAAGTTAATAATTTAATTATCATTTATAATGTATGTTTCATTCACATCATCAAATTTCTACTAACGATTTAAATTATTAAATAAATTAACATAAATCTTTTATTTAAACTCTATCGTAATATGCAAATTTGTTAAACTTACTAAATGCCATTAATATAAAAATCTGTTATACCAAAAATATAAATTTTGTAATGATTTAAATTATATAAAACGTGAGTCTTTCTTTTACAGTTTCAAGCATATTAACTCATTGTCTGGATCTTTCCTCGGTTTTAAAATAGAACTAATACAATAATATATACAAATTTATTATACACGTCATTATATATTTTTGTCGTATTTGAATAGAAAATTGTAAATAATATGATATACTGAACTTATTAATCAACACCGTAAGAGAAAAAGTATTAAAATGTTATTGTAATAATATAAATACAAATTATAGTTATAAATAAAGTTTATATTTGATGTATATACATAAGTTTAAAGGCATATTAATAATATGCTTATTATAAATTTGGTTCATTGTAAATGTATTAAAAAGACATACTTTCGAAATTTTTCTAGCTGATCTGCACCTGAGAGTTCAGTTACGATTGAGTCACTATTTGATTCCTTAACAATCTTATTTTCTAACCACGCAAAATATTTTACAAGAGCAATAGCATCTTTAACATGTGCTGATTTCATACCAAAGATTTCTGTATCATTCTTTACTAATTTCATCAAACTTATTGGCGTTACAGCTATATGTGTTGTTACCGAATTACAAACACGATGCAAAGCGTAGCTGGAGTTACCTGATATCCAAACTTTACTATTGTCTAATGAGCAAAGTTGCTTTAAATATGGTATTACATCGTCATAGGGATGTAATATAAAATTGACGTTCTCTCGAATTAATTGCTGTCTTGCATCTAAAGTTAATCTATCTTCATTTAAAAATATGTGAACTTGGTTCGAACATAAAATAATATACGCTAAAAATACTGGATTATATGGAATATCCGAACCTCTCCAATTAAGTAAATAAGCTATTTCATCTAAAGCTGATACTACAAGAATTGTAACTTTATTTTTTTCCATTGCTTGAAAACACTCCTTAACTTTATCTCCAGATATTTTACCAGAATAAACAAATTTATGTGGAACTATTTTATTTAATATTTCGCTTGGTCGATTAATGTCCCAAATTTCATCAATTAAATTTTTTTCAATAGGTAGTAAACTATGCCCAGCAGTTTTTAATCTACTTTGTAACAAAGTCCAATTTGTATTACTAAGTAGATTAGGATCAGCACCTACTACGGATTTCGGAAGTAAGTTAGAAATAAGCCAATCATCTAATGATGGTGTGCCAGTAAATCCTTCTTTCATAAGTGTCCACGTATTAGGAGGATTCAATTCTGTAGAAGCCTGAGTAAAGTATCTACCATCAGTCCAAAGTAAGGCACTGTCACAAGTTATAACAGCTGTACCTAATGAACCTTTGAAGCCTGATATATACTGTCGTCTTTTATCTCTTTCTCGAATATATTCAGATTGATGTGCATCATCCGAAGTAACTATATATGCTTGAATTTGCTTATTATCATTCTCAGGAATGTTCATCATAAGTTTCCTCAGGTATGACAATTTTTCTAATCCAGATTTAGCGGCCATCAATATTTTTCTGAAAAGTAAAAAATTATGAAATATATTAATAATTTTATTAAGAATACATTTTTAAATACATTCTATACAATCGGAATTAATACAGAACGATGTACAGTCTATTAAATTGGTATTCGGAAAAAAACTAAATATTTTATTTCTTTAATTTTAACTAAAAAATTTTTGTGCACTGTATGATCTGCACAAAAAATAAACATACCTAAGATATTATCTAGAAAGAATACACCGCGAGTACAATCAATATGGGAAAGATAAGATAAGAGAAAGGTAATGTAAGAATTTGAAAATGTTGTATGTAACAAAAGTTTAAATGAATAAAATAAAAAAAATTTTTTATTTATTTGACTACTAATAGTGAAAAGATGAGAGCTGAGAAAGGTAAGACTAGAGAACTTAAAGGAAATAAAGTGCTTTATTAAAAAATGTTTCAAGTATTTTATTTGATCACACTAACCAATATAGCTAGAGAAGCTGACATAGCATTTGCATTAATCTATTCAATTATTCGGTTATATGTATTATAACTCATATTTATACATTTTTTTATCATCAATCATTAGTATTCTTATAAATACGTTTATGCAATTTAATTTGTATTTTGCCAACTTATTTTATCTCATTGATTCTAGTCAGATAACCGATGTGGTATAATCAGACATGTTTGAATCTAAAAACATATTATATTAGGATTTCTCGTATAATTTCGAAAATGTAAGATTTTTAGAGTTCTTGAAATTCAAATGAATAAATATTTTCATAAAACTTGCCTTTTAAAATACTTTTAAAAAGGAGATGATGAATATATCTCATATCACTTTTACTTAAGCTTTCCTCAAATGAGAAGTAGTAAAGTGTATGATTATCTTCATTTTGTTTAAAAGAGAATTCTACTTAAACTTTACAATGAATACAGTGATATAAGAGTAAAAGAGATGTTAGACTTTATTACAAACTACATATAAAAATACGACGTAATTTGTTCAATAATATATTTTGTATGAAATTAGTTTGAAATACGTAAGGTCTATAAATAATTTATAGGTAATAACCATTTAAACTCCTCATGATAAAATCAAAATATAATTAATATATAGAGCTGCATAGATGAATATTAATATGAAGCTATAAATTTAATCTGAAGAATAATATTCACATGCACTAAACAATTGATGAACAATTAAAAAACTATAATAAGAATAAGGAAAACTTTGATTTTTAGTATAAGTTCTGTTACAAATGCACTTTCTATAAGTATAAGCGTTATATACTGTAATGTATAAGCATTTGCAAATACTTATCTTCAAAAGATATTGGTACTTTAATAATAATGTAAATACACATTCTTATATTAAAATAGCGCTAATCATGATTGACATTAGAACATAGTATAATCATTTAATAATATATATATATATATATGTGTAATGAAATATAAATTAAACATAAAATCTGTTATTATAAATTTTCAAGTTTCGATCAAGGACTATTATGAAATATATTAGCTTAAGTTAATCTTGAGAGAACAAAGGAGTATTAATAAAATTTGCTGAAACAGTTAAATTGTTTTACTGATTATCAAATACATAAAAAAAGATTACAGTTTTGATTATAAAATAAATTTGATCTTATTATCTCATTATGTAAACAAATTCTAGATTTCTAACTTTCATGGAATCTGTGACAATGAAATAAACTTAAACAAAAAATACAGAATTGCATTACTTTATACAGTATCTAATTATTTCTTCCTCCTATATTATGAAAATTATAAATTATATATATATAATATTCATATGCGATTTTTATAATATATTAAATTGTCTTTTAACAAAAATTTTATGTTGAGTTATATAAAAGAAATTGAGAAACTGCTTTCATAAAATATACGGTAATTTATTATAAAGCAAACAATTTAAAATAAATTATTTGGAATATCTAAAAATGTTAACACTTCTAATAGTACCTCATGTTTAATCTGAAAAATTACAATGTTATTGGAAGTAATTATTTATTTTAAATTCTAATTTAAATTACTTTATAGATAATATTTTTTAAGATAATAGATTTAAATATTATATAATTACTAAGCCATTCTTATCTTATGGACACAAATTCATAAATGTAAATTAATTTTAAAAAGACATTGATCTTATAATAGTAATTTATAAGTAACTTATAAATAATAATAAAACATTTTCAAATAAATTTTTTTAATTACATTTTGTTTTAATTTGTAAATATTTTGTGACTATTCAAGAACTTTTCTTTTGAGTTCATACAATGCAGTGAGTTAAATAAAACAATTTACATATATTATATTGTTTAATTTTTAAAAATAAGATATTAAAATCATATACAAGATTATCCTTATTTACAAATACATTATATTAAATTATATAAACATAATAATGACAGCATGTAAAATTTATAAACTAAAACAATTTTGATATTATTATAACAAAGTAATTTTTATGGAAATTGATTATCTATCCTTCTAAATTAAAAATAATTTGATTATATTATAATAAACTAATATCATTTTTCATTCATTTTTATTAATTAAAAAGTTAATATAATTATTTCAATATAAAATAAACAATTTAAGACAAATAAAATATTTTAAAATGTCATTAATGTAATAACTAATAAAAATGACATTAAAGTATTAATTAAAGTCCTGTGCTTTTATTAAAATGTTAAGCTGCATGTATAGAATAATTGTTGATAGTTTGAGAATTTTACATTATTTTAAGTTTATATACCATATTTTGTACAAGGTTATTTAATCATTTATTTACATATGATATAAAACATTTAACTTTCTTCATTTTAAAAATTAATTAAAAACAAGGTATTAATACATTTGTTGCAAACAGAAAAATATTAATAGTATCAAAATATAGAGTACGTACCAATATATTTAAATTATATTTTTGTTTTAAATTTAAATTTTATTTAGTTTTATATTCTAGTTGTTGTCATTATTTAAGCCACGTCATCAAATTTATGGTACAGCATTTTTTTCTTATAAATCTAATACTAAAAAATTTGTTTTATTCCATATTATTAATGAAAAAACAAATCTTTCTAAATCAACTGGAAATATGTCCAAATTTGTTAATTTAATAATTATTTCTTTGTTGTAAAATGAGTAATACGTAAAAATTTTATTTTTATAATATATACATGATAAATGAGAAAAAATTATTTATTATTATTGATGCAAAGCGGATAAAACTACTTAAATAAATAATGATTTTACTACTACGAATAAAGCGCGGTTACAAATCTTTGTTTGAAGTAATTCTAGATATCGATCACCCACCACCTCTACAATTAGAGTGTCGAATTATTATGAGTGCATCTTAATATTTTCTTATTTCAGTTTAGAGCAATAATAGATTTTAAACCTTAAATGATGGAAATAAAAAATTGTAACAATGGTAAGAAATGTTTTCTTTGATTTTTTTAATTGAAAATAAGATTTTTAAACTATGAAATAATTTAACTAAAAAATCTTTAATTAAAAATTAATGATAAAAATAATTATCATTGTCTTGAACGAAACAATTTATTGCATATAATTAAAATTTATTGTGTATATTACTTATTTAGAAATCATAAAGTATTTGAAAATATATAAATATGTAATAGTTAATGTGAAATTAAATCTACATATTTAAAAATTATAAAGCAACAATTGCTACAATACATTAAGTATTAATTTCAAGTATATTTACTGATATCTACATTTATATAAAAATTTCCGGATAATCTTCGAAGTATTTTTTTTGTTTATTAAAAATTTTTTTGGAACTAAAGAGTTCTAATATATTCATTTATGGAGCATGTACAAATTAAAAATTCTATTTAAGACTAATTTAAGAAATAGTGGATATAAATGTAGAAGAATTATGAAAGAAATGCACAAATTAAGAAATTATTATTTTATTTATTATTTTCATTCATCAGTAAAAGACTATAGTTATATAGGATTAATAAATAATAATGTTTTTTAGCTTTGAAAAAAAATATCTTTGCATTTTATTATATAAATATAATTTTTATAGAATAATCTTTATTTACGTATTATAGAAAAGCATAGTCATACAATATTATTTTTAATAACATCGAAAAACCCAATAAAAAAGATCTAGCTTATTAAAAGCTAATAAAAAAAGCGAAATCCTGGGAAAGCGTATAGAAATTGGAAATATTAAGATAAGCTAATCATCCTATATATAAATAGTTTAAAAGTGTACAAAATGTATTCACTGTTCCGACTTGTTTTACCAAGTCCCGTTCAAAGGATACAAATTGATGCCGTTGACAACTCAGAGACCACGGGTGTTGTGTGGTAGCGATGAAAGGTCACAAATGGAAGGGATATTATAATAATACAAGTATGGCTGATGTATACTCTATTATTTATTGATGACAAGGTTGACTAATATTACTATTATTAATTGTGGAAATAATTCTTTTGGTGGATTACTGCACACTCATCTTTGAAGCGTGATGGTTGAATTTGACCGCAGAATGGCGCGAAGTTTGATTCGTCGACACTCGCGCTGTTTACTTAAGTTCATAAGCGTCGGAACTTGAACTAAGGTGAGAGTTGACGAAAATACGCCCTTTTTAGCAGGCGCGAACTTGACGCCGCGTACTGAAATCTATTCCGCACTGTTCTTTGGAGAGAGCTTCTTCGTCCTTAGTTGCTTGTCGATGTCATTATCTCTGAATCTCAGAGTATGTAATTATTGCAATAATAATATTACTTACGAAGACTGCTGGTACATTTGAAATGGGGACCTCCTTGTTCTTTCTTCAAAGGTGCTTGTCACTGGACACTTGTCGTTGGAATATGTCGCCCGCCAATAGGACTTCTAACGATAGCTGTGTTGAATTACGTTAATAGGAAACTGCCAACGTCTTCCGACTCTAAGATGCGGATTGTTGTTGCTCCCTGTGAACTTGTAACGACGGTTTCTTGAACTACGTTAATGGACATACGGGGATATGTCGTTCCTCTAGGACGTGTAAGCACTGTTCTCTTGGCAGCGTTAATGGTCTTCCACTTGACACTTATTGAATAAGAACTTTATCAAAAGTGTACTATATCGAGAGTGTTATATCGAAAGTGATGAATATTGAAAAATGCGCCCCTTAAATACATTTGCTGACCATGAATTTCACTTGAACCCCTTTCCTTATATTTCGTCCAATCAGAGACTCCTCCGTTACAGAGCGAGGGCAGCGCCTCTTGTGGCTTCATTGTTAATTAAAAGCCTAGTCGTCTCTTGGTCTTCATGACAAGAAGAGCTTTCGTTGCTGCTGACGCGTCTGGCGACAGCATGACAACTTGTTGACGGCGGGAGGGGGGGGGGGTCCACTAGTACATAATGCTTGAAGTAATTACCGAGCGGAATGAATTCGTACAGATGCCTAACTGAGTGGGTTTTTCCGTATTTATTGTATTGTTTTTCCAGATGTTTTATTACGCTATTGCTAGATAATTACGAGCAAGAAAGTTTTGAAATCTAAACACAAATTTTACGATGTTATTTTGCCAGATGTTATATTGCATTGAAAAAAGGCCTCGCAAACTCTAACAAGTATAACATATAATAAATTATAATTACTAAAATTAAATATATAATAATTATAATATTAAAGTAAAATTTATTAAACAGATTATAAAAAAAAACAAGAAATAGATTAAGTCTTTATCAAAATAAATCTAAAAAAATAGTAATAGTAACAAATAATACACAGCAAAAGGAAAAATAACTAAGAATAATTTTGATATTAAAGAATAAATACAAAAACATAAAAAAAAATTAAAAAAAATATACTCTGAAATTAAAATGAAATGGAACTGATGGGTAACATAGGGTTAACCTTAATAATAGTTATAAAAACAAATATCGGAAACTAAAATAATAAAGAATGAATTCTATAATTTAATATTAAAAATTCGTTAGAGCCAATATCGTATTATCATTATCAATAAAATTATTAATAAAATCATTATTAATAAAAACTATAATAAATCAAAAGAAACGCTATCATTAAAAAAGAATAAAATATTAGAATATCAGCATATGGAATATCAAAAAAGAATAATAGGAAATAAGATAGATATAATGATACATTCACTAAAAATAGAAAAAATTATGAAATGGTTCGTAGTATTAGAGGGTAAAATAAAATGACACTGAGTGGGAACAAATTTAAGAGAATGTATTCGGGGTACAATGGTTCCTCTAAAATTTAGAGCAAACAATAGCATATTTACTAATTAAAAACAGAAACTACAAAACTATGATTAAATATTTAAATAACTATAAGCAAAAATATATTTAAAAAATGATTGTAAGAAGAATATCGAAATTAAAATACAATATAGCATGAATCATTAATAAGAAAAGGATTTCAAATGTATAATTCTGGGAAAAAATGTATATCTTTACAATCAACAATACAATTGGTAAATATAAGTCAATCCGTAATATATGAATTTTAAATATTAAAATAAATAGTTTATAGCATAATCATATACATGTTTAAATATAAAAAAAAACATCAAATGTACATTCACCAATAAAGATGAATGAAAATGAATAAAACAAACCTTTATATACCATTGATACAATAATTAATAAAACGAAAAAAGGAAATATATACTTAAACAATTGAAAAATAAACAAGCCAACATACACAATTTAAAATACAATATAAAATTCTTTTCAGTATATGCTATAATTAGTATATATAAGTTATTGTGTTACATATTATAGTTGAAAGAGAAGAAATTATTAAACACGCGTAAACTGTTTGTTACGCTGAATACTTAATATATGATTTCATGTATACTACATAGTACACGCATATATAATATAGTTAATTAATAACTGTATTAAAAATACAATTATTGATAAGAATTTCGATGTCGTTATTTCAGTCATATAACGAACAATATTAAGACCACTTATTTTAACTTATTCTAGACGAGAAAGATAAAAATAGCTCATATCGTAATTATATGGAATGTCTATTTAACTATATAATAAGTATTTATAATTGCAAAAAAACTGACGCTGCTAAATTAGTCCAAAATTCATAATTAAAAAGATTTGGGAATTAATGCGTGCACTTCGTAATTATTGTGAAACAAAAAATAATTGGTAACGATTTCACTTTTCATAGAAGATAGGATAAATATATAGCTTACTGTCACATCAAAGAATGAAGGATGTAAAAGATATATAAGGGAAATACTTAACTAAGAAGAATACAAGAAATTAAAAGAATAAATCCAAAGACAAAGTAAGTTAAAATAAATATCTGGTTTAACAAAATAAGAAATCATCCAGTTATTTTCAAAGCTGAAATACTTAAAATAAAATAAATTTGATAAAATAAAATTTCAAAGGTACATCTAATTAAAAAAAATATTATAACAAAGAACGTTTGATACATAATATATTTGAATCACTCAATTTCTATTTTAAGTAAAATAAGAAGTAGGTAAAACGTAAAATATGTAGGAAAAATTAAATTGTTTGAAATATTTTTACAAAAGATCAATGAATACATGTGAATAAAATACTAAAATATAAGAAATCTTTAAAGATAATATGAATGTTTGTGAATAAACAATATTCAATTTTATAAATATTGTAAAATAATAGCAGAAATAGATCAAATTCGAGCATATATAGAAATAATGCGCAGATAAATTATTTTAAAAAATTAATTAAACGGTTAAAATTTGAAGATTTTAAGTAGAAAAAAAAAGAACAAAAATTTGGCCAAGATATAACTTACTTATAATCTTTAAAATAATGATTTTACGTCAGCAATTAAATATACATCTAGAAAAAACTTAATTTTACATAGATAGTATAGTTAAAATGGATAAATACAATTCACCAAAAATAATGAAAACAAATGGAATAGTGTAGCATGTAGGAGTAAAAACTGAGTAGTAAATAATTAAAAGTAAGTAAATCAGTAAGTATATATGTAATTGGTGATATCTAAAAAA